AAGAAGAAGAAGAAGAAGAAGAAGAAGAAGAAGAAGAAGAAGAAATAAAAAAACAACAACAACAACAGCGGCAGCAGCAACAACCGGGACAAGAGTTCACCTCAAGGCAAGCAGATGGCGAGGCATGTTGTTCATTGAGAAGATAAAGGTCTGGGACGCCTGAAGAATGTTGTAAAGGATGAAGTTCCTCTCACACCCCACGTCACAGACACCTGGCTCTGCTTGGCTACTGCTGTTGTGGACATTGAAGCCACTGCAGTTGAAGAATACCTGGTTGGGAAAGAGGAAAGTGGTGACATTTATGAGGCATCGTGGTAAATTCGGGTACTCGTCAAAATAATGAAATCCGAGAAATCGGCATTTTTCGGCCAGTTTGGAATTTTTTTTTGAATTTCTATTTTTTAGCTCAACACCTTGAACGTTGTTCTTAAAAAACACTTTTAAGTGTGGATTTTAATGAAAAACATTGATTAAAAGCACCCAAAAAAATGTAAATTTGTAGTTTCCAAGGGCTCTTAAGCTATGGAAGTCACCAAACTTTGGCGGCTATTTTCTCACTCATTTCACTTCTGAAACCAGGCGACCCCACCTCCTTCAATCGCAAATATTTCGACTTCTATTCAAGATAAAAAGGATATTTTTTTCATCGTAGGCAAGGGAAATAAACAGCCGTTTTAAGATGACACCAATAACTCCATATGATCCAAAATTTACAACAAGCGCCTGATTCCACCAGGTCGTGGCACATTTTATCTATGGGCTGTTCTACAGTGGTATAAGTTTTTCGATTATTATCTTCTGTAATTAGTGGCTGTGTTGTAAGTGATGTGTGTGTGTGTGTGTGTGTGTGTGTGTGTGTGTGTGTGTGTGTGTGTGTGTGTGTGTGTGTATGTGTGTTTGTGGGAGAGGCAGAGTGAGGGAAAGATGAGAGGGTGGGGGTGAGTGAGAGGGGGCGAGAAGGAGAGAGACAGAGAAAGAGAGCAAGAGACAGACAGAGATAGGGGGGAGGGGAAAAGAGAGAGAGAGAGTGAGAGAAGGGGGAAAAGAAAGATGTAGAAAAAGCTCTGCTTGACAGCTGCTGTTGTGGACATTGAAACCCCTGCAGCTGAAAAATACCTGGTGGAGAAAGAGAAAGGTGGTGACATTAATCATCTATGGGCTGTTCCACTGTGGTATAAGTTTTTCATTTATTATCTTCTGTAACCAGTTGCTGTGTTGTAAGTGATGTGTGAGTGTGTGCAAGTTTTTGTGGGAGAGGCCTAGGGAGAGAAAGATGAAAGGGAGAGAGTGAGTGAGAGAGAGTGAGAGAGAGAGAGAGAGAGAGAGAGAGAGAGAGAGAGAGAGAGAGAGAGAGAGAGAGAGAGAGAGAGAAAGAGAGAGACTAGAGAGAGAGAGAGAGTGAAAGAGAGAGAGAATTAATTTCGGAAAGGAAAAGGAAAAAAGAAAACAACTGACCGTTCCGTTGCTGTCTGTACATCCGGCGTAGCACGGCGACAGGTAGGTGTGACCGTCCGTGCCACAGGACAGCAGGTTGAGGGACGGGTCGCAGTGGCAGGTCGAGGCCGTGCTGTTGTCCACGCTCATCCCACTGGGGAGTAGTTGTAATATAAGGTCGCTTTTAAGCACAAGGGGGCTATTCCGAAAAATCTGTCTAGAGAAAATCGAAGGTAAAGTTTTTGCCCATTGTTCAGTTTCTTTTAATGATAAGAAGAGTTTTCTCTATAACCAAACAAATATATACATGTACATACCAAAGAAACCAAACTTCTTCTATAGGTAGGGCAACGCCCACTCTTGGTGTAGGTAAAGATTTCTGGAAACCCCCGAAATCTGAGTTAGGCTGCTTGTCCTTAAAAGCGACCAATTATGAGAGCTGAAACTGCACTCTTAAACTTAATGAATTTAATTAAGCAAAAAGTGTCCAGCTATATTTAGCTGTCTTTTAAGTGTCTGTACCAATCTTGTTAATAAGAGCAACATAATCCAAAGTGCAATCCCACATATTTTTGTCAAACGCCTTTACAAAATACAAAAATCAAGATTCACGGTTTGGGTGGAATTGATTATTTTCAAAATGCCTGATGCTTTTGTACATTGAAACTAGGTGGAATAATGAAAGCTACATTGTTTGAGATAGCTATGTAGCTCTGATAATTTTTCTATCAATGTCAGGTCAAACATCAAATCTCACAGAAAAGTGACAAAAACAGCTTTGGAGGAAAAAAATAGTTCTCGAACTTAAAAAATCCTCGGTACTCACAATTGACCGGAGAGCCCATAGATGGGCCCATTATCACAACCAAAGACAATGTAAAAGGGAGTCATCATCCACGTTATCACAGAGGTGAAGAGGATGAGCTTGAGGTAGCCCAGTCTTGTTTTGATCCGCGTGGAGAGATAAGAGCTGATGGCGGTACCCAGGATGTGGGTGATGGCCGATGACATTCCTGGATGGACATGGGAAGTCACGAGACGTTATGAAGAGATCAAATTTTTTTATTCATTCAAAAATCAGCTGATGTCGTTTCTGTTTCTCAATTAATAAGATGAGTATTTGGAGTAAATTTCTTTTAGTCAGAACACAACGTTTTATGTTACTGTTGTACGTTGTACTGTATTGTAAAGCGCTCAGAGCCTGTGTACTTTAATCGGGGTTGAGCGCTACATAAATGTCATTTATTATCATTATTATGGTGGGTGTTGGAAATAAAGAGGGGTCCGCTTACTTAACAGTTACAGTACCATCGGCGACTTTAGTTGCCAGGCCCTATAGTAGGTGCCCACTAGTGCTGGGCCCCGAGGTTCCCGGTTATTGAAAGCTAGGAATCATAGGAATCGACTCCGAACCCAATTACTTACTTTCCAATTATGGGATTTCTTTCTGTGATTACCTGGTTGGCCCCAAACATCTTTAGGATTTAGGAAAACCTTGATTTCGGAACACTCCAAAGCATCAATTTTTATTTTTCCAAAATAAATTGTAAAAATAAAAAAGATTTTACAGATTAAAGTAACTGGTAACGGTTGGTTTACGTAAAAAGGAGTCGGAACTTTTCTTTCGTAGCATTTGTCTTGGGAATCGGTTCCCGACTAGATTCTTGGCCCAGCTCTAGTGCCCACAACCACTGGCGACTTTAGTCACCGATGTAACCAGGAACACTACACATAATTAAACAACAGCAAACGGACGCACTGCACTGAATTAAATATCAAAAGAAGCCACTCTATACGACAGCAGAATTGTTGATGAACCTCTAGGTGAATTTTTGAAGTGTGTTTCTGGGGCTGCAAGCCAAAGTTTTTTTACTTTTAAAAAAAAGTACCATGGCTTCAGCTTTCTAAAGTGGTGCAGTACTTGAGGGTTTTTCACTCTATGAGCCTTCGGTACTGTAAGTGTTACGGGTCAAATCGGAGGGAACGCTGGAATTTCTTTTGATTTAGTCAGGTTTTTTATTTAGAAAGGTTGCTCTTATAGAAAAAAAAGATGACATTCTTAAAGGGACACAGGAAGTCATGAAGCGTTCACTATCTTAGAATTACAAAGTTCTATCCGCTCAGTAGCCTACCTGATTTTTGGGGGCTCTCGTGACCTAGAGGTTAAGGTGTTGGCCTCTCACTCAAAAGGTCCCGGGTTCGAATCTGGGTAGCGACCGAAAAATTTTCTTCTCTAAATTTGTCTCCTTTCACCACATTTCCTGCTCTCTAGCAATGTTCTGTCGTCTGCTTTCGTCTCCACTTTCTGCCCTCACCCCGTCATCTCCTTTGCCCCTTCCTCTGGGCTCCTGATTCTTTCTGCAGCCTTTCTACTGTTACTCCTTCGCTTCTTCTTACTGCTGTCTTTCAGCCACACCCCTGATCTTCTGGTAGGAAAGATCTACACCTAGCCTTCTCGGACAAGGGTGAAAAATCTCGGAGGGCCCGTGTGCAAGTTGCACACGTTAAAGATCCCTTGGTGGTCTAAAATCGATAAGAGTAGGCTTCGGTCGCCACCCAGGCAAAATTCAAAATTTCCTACCAACTGAAAATATTCGGTGTGTCCCGCGCGCTCATATGACCTATGCAGTTGCGAGCGCCGTAAAACACTCTACTATAAAAAAAAAAAAAAAAAAACCCCTGATTTTGAGAAATTTGACATAAAAGATTTTGAGTAGCACAACTTGCTAAACTTTTTTCAAATGCAATTCTTTGAATATCTTGATAACGACTCAAAATAATCTTACGATTTTGATAGAGTAGATAGAACAATAATTGATTTCTGACCTCATGGTCTTAGTTGTAACTCAAAACAGCCAGAAATGTCAGGTAAAACTTTTAATTCTAATGCAGCGAAGTATGTGGATTTTGTTTTTAATAAGTTTTACCTCGCACTATTGCACCACAATGATGTCATATAGGAGCCAAAGTTTAACACTCATCTCTCTGTGCGCTCATGTGTGAGGCAGCGTGGTGAAATCAGGCGCTCGTCAAAATAACGATATCAATTTTTTTGGGCTGCTGACAGTTTTTTTCGAAATTTTTTTTTTTTGGTACAACACCTTTTGTCCATTTAAAGCATAGCTGTTTGTGGATTTTACGGGGAAAAAGTTGATCAAAGGCGCAAAAAACGTTAAGTTTCAGTTGCCATTGACACTCAAGCTTAGGAAGTCACCAGACTTTGGCGGCCATTTTCTCGCTAATTTTACCTCTGATACCAGACGACCCCCACCTCATTCAATCACAAATATTTTGACTTCTATTCAAAGTAAATAAGTATTTTTTTCACCAAGTGCGAGACAAATGCACGGGCTTTAAGATGATAGTAATAACTCTATACAGGCCCCTAAATTGACGAGCGCCTCATTTCACCATGTCCTGACACATATGGCGTTATGCAGTTACAAGTGCCGTAAAGCACTAACTGAAAAAACAAAAAACCCTCACTCACCTCTGGCAACGTTTTACACTCACCTCTCCGCGCGCTCATATGGCGTTATGTAGTTACAAGTGCCGTAAAACACTCACCAGAACAATAACAACAACAAAAACACCCTCACTTAGGCCTACCTCTAGCAAAGTTTTCCACTCACCTCTCTGTATGCTCATAACATGACATTTAAGTAGTTACAAGTGCCGTAAAACACTTACCAGAACAACAACAACAAAAAACCCTTACTCACCTCTGGCAACGTTTTACACTCACCTCTCTGTACGCTCATATGGCGTTATGCGGTTACAAGTTACAAGTGCTGTAAAACACTCACCAGAACAACAGACAAAAAAACCCTTCACTTAGACCTACCTGTTGTTACTTGAACATGAATGTTTAACACTAACCTTCTGTCTGCCTGCGCCTACAACAGGGGTTAGCCAAACCTGTTTCTCTCCGGATTGTGATCCTTTCCTCACCGATGAGGCCCTGATGCGTTGGAATCTCACACATTACACAGAAATAAACCGAGGCTCTAACTAGCCTTTTCTCCACCTGAACTCTCAGCAGGCCTCCTCTGCCTTGCTACAGCTCTCCCCTCTAAAGTCAAACCTGTAGTAATCCAGACTGCTTTTATACACTGGCACAAAACAATACAACCAAACTGAGACTCACACTCTACTCACTCTCACACTTTCAGCCAAACAACACAATACCCCGTGCCACTGACCAACACGCCAGATTGCAAATGAAGCAACCAAATAGACCACACTACCTCTGGCAAAGTTGGTCCTAGCCATGGAGACGTTGTACTCAAACATGATGTACTTGATGGAGAACGGCCGGACGCCCAGCAGCGGCACGTAGATGATGGTGATCTCGATGGCCAGTAGGGCGAACAGAGGGCTAGAGAAGATTCTATAAACAGACCTGGGTAGATCTGGAGGGAGAGAAAGAGAACAAAGTTTGTCTGGTGGATGGTATCAAATGTGAAGGGTGCTGACAAAATGAGTTATTTCTCAGATTCGAGACCAATGGAACTAGATACATATCATGCTTATAGGTGAATTTTATACATTTTTTAGGTATGAAAATATAAAAGGCTTATTACACTTAAAGAGCATGGCATCAACAGAAAATCTACAAATTTGACCCTGGTGTCGATTTCTGGCCAATATCTCCATTTTGTGGATTGCGATAAGTACCTCATTTTGTCAGCATTCTTCACAAATAGGTTGTGGCCGACCTCTCTTTTGATTCAATAAGAGTTTTACAGCCCATGCTACACAATTACGTCATAAAAGTGCCGAAGATTAGAGGTTGCTACTAGAGAGTAAAAAATACAAAAAAGAAGGCAGAGAGATCTGGAAACTAGATGTTTGATAAGATAGAAGAAGCAAACTACTCCAGAGCACCTTCCAAGCACCCGCACTAACTGATCTCTTAACACTGTACAGTTATTTCTTAGATATATGGAAAAGTAAGAGGAAGAACCCCTAGAGTGATTGTCAGTCCTCAATAAGACCAAACCAAACTGGTGGAGAGCCTTGAAAAACTCCCAGAAGAATCAATGTTTGAGAAACACCAAGTTTGGTTTTGAGCCTGGTTCACAAGCGTCATAATTAAGCATTTGATAACACTCTCTCTAAACGAAATTATGTTAAAGTGGCCATTTTCCGAATTTAAACACTTGTGAATGTTAAAAAATCCCAAGAAAATTTCAGTCTTTTGATACTTTAACAAATTTAGCCTTGCAACTTCTCAAAATTAATATATTATGCACTCTCTTTGAAACACTGTTATGTACATTTGACCTTTTATGGATCAAAATACTTGCCACACTCAACAGACAGCACACTTGCTTTGAAAAAAAAAGTTTTGCATTCAAACTGTCGTTTAAATATATAGTGTAAAGCGCATAGAGCCTGCTCTTGAGCGGGGATATGCACTATACAAATGCTATCTATTATTATTATAATTTAGTTCCAGATATTTTTTCTCACTATTCCAGAAATATTCGTGAAGGAAGAATAATATCAATGATAACAACACTGACAACACCAACAACAGCTCTAGCCACAACAACAACAAAACACCAACCCGACATCAACCACAAGTAAAAAAACAACCAAAACAATACTAAGACCAACAGCAACGACAACGAAAACATGAACAATAACAGCAACAAAAACAAAAAACAATAGCAACAGCAAAAACAATTTTTAAAAACCCAACAAATAAAAGACAAGAACACCGAGAACAACAACAAAAAGCAACAACAACAACGTCATCAAAAATGATGACAGCAAGTAAGTTATTAGCAACGCTTAAGCATCTTGCGTTCGTCAAAATTACAACCTACCTTTGATCATTTGCATACAGGTAAGATCTTTCACTTGATGTCGGGAGGGACGAGATTCTGTCAATGTCATATCCACGGCATCTGAGTTAGGACTGTCTTCCTCCTCTGACAGCTGACTGTAAATGTAATGGTGAAAAGGTACTGGTGTAGAGGTAATGGTGTAGAGGTAATGGTGTAGAGGTAATTGTGTAGAGGTAATGGTGTAGAGGTAATGGGGTAGAGGTAATGGTGTAGAGGTAATGGGGTAGAGGTAATGGGGTAGAGGTAATGGGGTAGAGGTAATGGTGTAGAGGTAATGGTGTAGAGGTAATGGTGTAGAGGTAATGGTGTAGAGGTAATGGTGTAATGGTCTAAAGGTAATATGTAATGGAGTAAAGGTGTAAAGGTAATGTTGTTAAGG